AGTCGAGTAGGGCTTGCTCACTTGCGCGTCCTCCGTATCCAGTCAGGGATTCGTCTGGCTCCCCGCGCGTGTCGCCGAGTCGTTGAAAGTGTAGCGTGGTGGAGCCTTGCACACCGAGTCACCGCGCCGTCAGATATGAACAGGCTCGAAGAAGGGTCTGTAATCACTGCAAGTATACGAGGATGAAAATTAGGCAGAATCATGGAAGGTGTCTGCAACACAACACACCCGCAAGTGCGGTTAAATTACGAAAACAGGATCTAGACACACAGTTACACACGCGTTCAATATTAAGCAGTCTTATTAAAGGGGTCTGCAACACACACACACAAACACACCACACGCGCGTCAGATATGACAGGCCTGAAGAAAAGGGTCTGTACTACATGCAAGTAACGAAGGATGAAAATTTAGGCATGACATCTGGAGGTGTCTGCACACACACTCAACACGCAAGTGGTTAAATAAGAAACAAGTGATCCTAAGGAAAACAACAGAGGCTTCCCATCGAACTTGGATACGTGGTGGGTCGAGTGAGGAGCATAGCACACACGCGTTCAATATTAAGGCAGTTTGATGAAAGAGTTGTTTGGTGGCCCACATAACAGATCGTTTTTTGCTATGACAGCAACTAAATACGAAAAAGGCTAGATGAAGATGTCTGTGTACACAGAAGCTCACAAACGGTCAAATATTAAGCTGACTCTGTGGAAGTGTCTACACACACAAGTATATACGCGATCAAATATGAAGAATAACTCATTGAAGATGTAGATGTCTACACACACACACACATACCAGAGGTTTTAAACGAAGCAGAAATGATGGTGTTTACACACATACAACCACACAAGTACACAAGCACACAAGTGGTCATTAACGAGGCAGACTTGATGAAGGTGTCTTCACACTTACAAGTCCACGCGCGTTCACATACGAGGCAGACTCGTTGAAAGTGTCTGCGCACATACAAGCGGTCAAATACAAGGCATATTTGTTGCACACATGTGGTATAATACGAGTCAGAATAGTTAAAGTTATCTACACGCACATACACAAGCACACACGCGGTCGTAAACGAGGAAGTCTCTTCAAGATGTTTGCACACAGACACAGACTCACGCGCGGTCACGTACGAAGCAGACTCGTTGAAGGTGTCTGCATACACAAACGCCCACGCGATCAAATATGAGACAGGGTCGTGGAAGGTATCTGCTCATTTGCACACACGCGGTCAAATACAAGGCAGAATCGTTGAAGGCGAAATCACAAAGGCGGTCAAATACGTGACAGTTTCACTGCAGTTGTCTGCAAACACACAGACAAATACATAAA